AGGGTAAGTCTGTGCTAACGCTGGTTTACTGGAAACAAGTCAAACAGACCCAGTGTGACCAGTTTGGTCTTCCTAGCCCGGTCACCACAGCCATCGTCCAGCGGGGGACGCTAAAGAGAGGCTGCGTGCTGGTTGCTGGGAAATCCTGGGCTAAAGTTCGCTTCCTGTTTGATGAGAACGGCTGCGCTGTGAAGGAGGCGGGGCCGAGTACTGCGGTGGAGGTGGTTGGCTGGAAGGAGCTGCCATCAGCTGGAGAGACCATCCTGGAGGTGGAGTCTGAGGTGGGTGGGGTATAAACAGGCTCCGCCCAAATGAAATCACATGAAATAGAATAAATGTTTTATTGAACAATAAATCATCTCAGCTGATGCTTCAATAATGAGAAATATTAAGTTTGCATTGCAGAAATAATTTTGGGGAAATTTAGATAAAAATCCAGACTGTGGATTGTTGAGATGACCATTTCCTGTCAGTCCCTTCCACAATAAAAGCTTTCCTCCTTTGGCTCCTGCAGCAGCGAGCGCGGGAGGTGGTGGAGTGGAGAAGTCACGATGAGGAGCAGCGGAAACTGCAGGAGGAGCAGAGCGCCATCGAGCAGAAGCAGAAGCTCCACCTGGAGGAGTACCGCAGGGAGAGGGAGGGGCTGTCCCACCTGAGCTGGAGGCAGAGGAAGGTGGCGCTTTACCGGGCCAACAAGAGCCGCTTCGCCACGAGGCCCAGCGAGAGGATGCAAAGCGACCAGCTCAGCCTGCCGCTCATCGTCAAAGGTACACACTGAGCCAGCTTCAAACAGGCTCCGCCCACTGTGATGTCACTCTAACTGAACAACCGTCGACCCCAGGTGACGTGGATGGCTCGGTGGAGGCCATCCTGAACATCCTGGACAGCTACGACGCTCAGCAGCAGTGCGAGCTCGAGGTGGTCCATTTCGGCATAGGAGACATCTCTGAGAACGACGTCAACATGGCCGAAATGTTTGGAGGTACGAGCGAAGGGCGCCATTCAGATGTTTTTATTCATTTTGTGTGCCGCAGATTCTTCTGACCGCCGGCTGGTTTAGTGTGATTTCATGATGGGTTTAAAGCTGAGATCAGAGAACGCCTTCTTACAGAGTGTCTGTGAATGCATCACAGGGTACCTGAGTTTAAAATAAATAATAAATCTCCTGCTCCACCTGGCTGCGTCTCGCCATCAGGCTCCATCTATGGCTTTAACGTGGCGGCGAGCCGTGGCATCGAGCAGCTGGCGGCGAAGAAAGGCATCCCGCTGCGCCTGCACAGCGTCATCTACAAGCTGGTAGATCAGCTGAAGGAGGAGCTCGGCGCCAAACTGCCACCGCTCGTCTCCGAGAACATCACAGGTGAGTCGGCACCACACGGTCATGTGA